GCTATTCTCTATGTAGTAACATGCGGACCGATTTTTCACGCTATTCTCTATGTAGTAACATGCGGACCGATTTTTCACTCTATTCTCTATCTGTTAACATGTGGACCGATTTTTCACTCTATTCCCCATCTGTTAACATGTGGACAGATTTTTCACTCTATTCCCCATCTGTTAACATGTGGACAGATGTTTCACTCTATTCCCCATCTGTTAACATGGAGACCGATTTTTCACTCTATTCCCTATCTGTTAACATGTGGACCGATTTTTCACTCTATTCTCTATGTAGTAACATGTGGACCGATTTTTCACTCTATTCTCTATCTGTTAACATGTGGACCGATTTTTCACTCTATTCCCTATCTGTTAACATGTGGACCGATTTTTCACTCTATTCCCTATCTGTTAACATGTGGACCGATTTTTCACTCTATTCTCTATCTATTAACATGTTGACGGATTTTTCACTACATATAATTACTTTTACTACATATATAGTAAAGGTACTATATTTCTATTTGTTCTACTTTAGAAAACTCTCTCGTGTTTCTTAATGAATCACTCACTCACTTCAATTCAGCAATCACGACTGTGCATAGCAGAGGAGAAATAACAGAACCACACGATATGATTATCAAGAACCAAACAATTTGATTATCAAGAACCACACAAGTGGATTATCAATAACCACACAATTTGAATATCAAGAAGTACACTATTTGATTATCAAAAATCACGCCCCCCCCCCCACGTGGCACAGCGGTATGTCTGCGGACTTACAACACTAGAAACCGGGTTTCGATAGCCGTGGTGGGCAGAGCACAGATAGCCCATTGTGTAGCTTCGTGCTTAACTTCAAACAAAACAAACGAATCAATAACCACACAATTTGAATATCAAGACGTACACTATTTGATTCTAAGGAACAACACAATTTTATTATCAGTAAACCCACAATTTGATATAATGTTTCATATAAGTTATGAAGGTTTCAAGTAATGTTTTCTGTAATTAAAAACCTTTTTACTACATTTGCCAAAGATTATTTGCAACTAAACTTCTTACAATATTTTCAAGTCCAGTTACAGCAATCTGGAATTATTTGTATTAAATTGAATTTAAAGTTAAATAAACATATTATTATTATATTAAACCTTAAAATTGATATCCTCACTAAATATTCCGACAAATTTCTTAATTTCTTTCCGCC